AATATGCACATCACACGACAAAAAACGTGAATTTCTCACTTCAAAAACTTTATCGTCGCATATTTCTGAAAATCAGAAACAAACAAAAAAAACGTAAAAATACTTTTCTGCTTCTTACGACTGGCTACAAAATCTATGTACTTAAGTCGTCATGGAGAAGGAAGATAAGGGTACTGAAGAATGCAAGATGGCCGTCATGTTTGACAGCTGATTGAGTTGTAAGGTTTTTTTCTTTGTCTGCCTTATTTCGACAGTCAAAAACACAACACTATTTTGGCATATTGGTTTTCGTTTCTTTTAATGTGTGCTTTATGCCGTCAACCGCCATATAATCTTTACTATGCTGAACTGCTGAATTGCTATCTGCGCATGCATCGTCGCGCACGTACATAAGTATATAGGCAATGATTGGATGAACTCTCCTTATCGTCAAAATCAACCAATAAAACCCGCATTCCACAGTACCCCCATTGTACATAAATTTTGTAGCCATTAGGTCTGTTTTTCTTGCATACACTTTATACACTTTAGCGTTTTTCTTGCCGGATGTGACGTTGAGTTACGTCATTACACGCTGTTCTTCTTGAAAGTGTAGTACACTTTAATGACGTAATTTACACGTTTTGTACACCTCCTTGAGAGGTGGTGTAAAGCTAATGTAACGTTACAGCTTTAGTTTTTTGTTTATGTTTTGAATGTCATTTTAGAACTCAGTTGGATGTGATGAGATGTTCATCAAGTGAAGTAATAGGTTATTGTATCAAATTTTACATATATATAATAAGATATATGTTAAAATATGTTAAATTTATTACAATACCATTCTTTCTCAATATCATATAAATTATAAATTCTTTAAATATAGTATTAAATTATATGTGTAGTAATCGATACATCGATACATCGATATCGTTACTACAATCGAATGTCATCCTAGCAATCGATACATAATCATTCAATTATTCTTAACAACTATTCTCTTGTTAAATTATGTATCTTCATTCATTCCAAGTTCATTCCTGTAACCATTCACACGTTTTAATAAACCAACTCAAGTTTTCTTAAAAAGAACAAAGTTAGTTTATTTTGTAAGTGAATAAACATAACAGTTTTTGGCGACGAGGATTATGGAAGGTCTCCGTGAGATATTAACGCCGTTGTTGCAACAGCAACAGCAGCAACAGCAGCAGTTTCAGCAGCAACAGCAGCAATTTCAGCAGATGATGCAGCAGCAGTTTATTGCCCAGCAACAGGAATTTGCGAAACAAATCGCCAAGATTCTCAATGCTCCTTCATCCGCACCTGTAGACCTGGAAACTAAAATAGATGCGTTAGCCAATTCAATCACAGAATTTATTTACGATCCAGAGAATGGTTTGACTTTCGATGCATGATATGTACGTTACCGAGGATTATTTTCCGTTGATGCCCAAGCATTGGACGACGCAGCAAAGGTCAGATTACTCCTACGTAAATTAAGCATGACAGTTCACACGAAGTATGTTAACTACATCTTGCCAAAAGAATATACAGATTTCGATTTTACAAATACAATAAAAAATCTTACCAAAATGTTTGGGAAGAAAATATCGCGTTTTCATCAGCGATATAATTGCCTTAATGCGTTGAAATTAGATCAACACGATTTCTTAACATATGCTGGCTTGGTTAACAAACGGTGTAAAGAGTTTCAAATCTCGACAACTACTGCAGATCATATTAAACGTTTAATGTTTATTTGTGGACTACGTTCTCCATCAGATACTGACATTAGAACTAAGTTATTACACTTAATTGATATTTTTTTATTATTTTTTTTTTTTTTACTTGGGGAAATGCATACGCACACCCTGACCCCCGGGGGAGGGCCAGGGTAGTGTGGGACTCGCACCCACTAAAACCCCAAGATGGTCCTCCAGCACCACGGGAGGGAGTCCTGAAAAGCCTTGCGGCTATACGTCTCGGAACTCCCTCGGTGCCTGGGTGGCAAGTTACTGCCACCCCGTACCTGACTGCGTGGGGAGAAGCGGGACCACACCACTTCTTCCCACCTCCGTGGGGCCACGTGCAATGACAGGGGAGAGCCCCCGCCCTGCACCCGTCTGGGCCCCGTCACCTTTCACCCACTCCAGGCAGTGGGGAGGGGCACCACTCACCCTCTCACCGCGAGAGGGAGAGGCGGCAGCCGAGGCTACTCGCTCTCGTTGTCACCAGCAGGCCGCGGGGACCTTCGCCGTCTCCTGCGCGCGGACTGCCCCTGGCGGGCCCGTTCCGCATCCTCCTTGGCAAACATGACTGTGCCACAGAAGGCCACTACTGCCCGCCAACGCCCTGCGTCGCGCAACATGGCGCTGACAACCGCCGGGAGCGACAAGTTGTCGCCGACGTGCGCCCGCAGGGCCGCACGCTCCTGTGCCCACGCTGGGCACTCCTCCAGCGTGTGTTGCGCGCTATCCTCCGCGGAAGGACAGTGAGGACACGCTGGAGTGTGGGCCTTCCGGATGCGGAACAGGAAGTCGCCGAATGAACTATGCTCGGTGAGGATCTGGGTAAGGTGAAAGGTGAGTTCACCATGGGCTCGTCCCAGCCACCGATCTAATACCGAGCCAACCGCCTTCCGAACCCTGAGGCCGGACCCACCCGGCGCCAGGAGACGCTCCCGCCACCTGCGTACAAGGGCCCGTTCCACCTGCTGGTTGACCAGCAGCGCCCGCTCGGGGGTGATGTCAACTCCTTCGTTCCGGTACTCCCGGAAACGAAGGAACCGGTCTGCCTGCTGACGCGCAAGCAGGTCCGCCGGAGGAACACAGGCGGACCGCCTCCAGCGCCAGGACTCGGACCGCCTCCAGCGCCACCGTTTTGTATGCCCTGACCACCCTAGACGCCATTAGGCGTTGCACGGCAGCGTAGGGCACCACGGCGCGGCCCCGGCCCAGCGCCTCGTGCCACACTGGCGCGCCGTACATCAACACAGAGTGTACGACGGCCANGTATAACTTGCGCACGTGCTCCCGGGGACCCCCCAAGTTGGGGAGCAGACGAACCAGCGCGGCAGCCACCCTCCGAGCCTTGGCCGCTGCATAGTCAAAGTGGTCCCTAAAGGACCACTTTTCGTCCACCATGAGGCCCAGGTATTTGATACACGGTCGTGTGTCCACCTGGGCCCCATCCACAAACACCCGTACCGGACTCCCCGCGACCCCTTGGGGGCGGAAGACAACCGCCTCCGTCTTTTGGGCCGCGAGGGTAAGTCCCAGTGGCGCGATCCGTAGCGACACTGTCGCAGCAGCGAGAGAGGCGTTTAAAGCCGCCTCCTCCTCGTCGCGACCTCCCGAAAGAATTAGTGTGTCGTCGGCGTAACACACCAAGTCTGTACGTGGCGGCAGCTCGACCCGGAGTACCGCGTCGTATCCCACGTTCCAAAGCAGAGGCCCCAGCACCGACCCCTGGGGGACCCCGCACATAACTCGGTGGAACCGGAGTTACCCGTCCCGACATAGGTATACGACGTTCCGGCCTGAGAAGTAGTCATCGAGGACGGCCAAGAGACAGGTGGTGAGGTTCCATCCCCGCAAGGCCGCCCTGAGGATAAGGAATTGAAGGCATTCCTTATATCGAGGCTAACCGCCACGCACATCCCTCCACGCGAAGTGTGGGCCCCGGCAATCTCCCGAACGCGCAACGCCGCGTCGCACGTCAAGAGGGCCGGTCGGAACCCGTACTGTCCTCTGGACAGACCACCCCCCGCTGCCAGTCGCTCGTCGATGCGGCCCGCCAACACCCGCTCGAAGAGTTTACCCCCCTCGTCGAGAAGACACAAAGGTCTATAAGACGAGGGGACCGCTCCAGGGCGAGCGACCTTCGGGGCCAGAACCAGGCGGGCCTGTTTCCAGTCCCTCGGGAACCGCCCCTTCCGCAGACACTGCGTGAAGCAGCGCGCTACACGCTGCGGTAGTAAGGCCGCCAGGCGGGCCCACACAGCACATGTGAGGCCGTCCATGCCCGGGGCCGTCTTCCTACCGGCGATGCGCTTCGCCGCGACACGGACCTCGTCCACCGTCACGGCGTGTGCTTTCCTCCACGGGATGCGGTCCGGGGGAGGTGGGCAGAGCTCGTCCCTCGCGGGAAAGAGAGACCGCACCAACTCTTGGACCTGGTGCACCTCGAGCTGTTCCGTGACCGCAGGCCCAGAAGGCCGGAGACGGGACAGGACCACCCGGTACGAAAGACCTCACGGGTCTTTGTCGAGGGTCTGGGTCAGGTCTTCCCATTCCTGCCGCTTCGCCGCCGTGACGGCGCGACGGAGCGCTCGCTGGGCCTTCCGGAAGAGGACCCGGGCTTCCTCTACCGCGTTAGGGTCATGTTGACGCCGGCGGCGGACCCTGGTGTGCCGTCTCCGGAGGATGACACACTCCTCGCGGAAAGCGGCAATGTCCGCAGACCACCAATGCGCACGACGGCGCGGGTGGCGCCTCCCCGCTCGCGGCATCGACGCGTCGCAAGCGTCAGTAGCTGTCTGCTGAAGCCACTGGGCTTCCTCGTCCGCCATCCACCCCGGAGCAAAGGGGTTGCCCCACGTTGCCTCGAGGACCGCCGCCGTAAACATGTCGTGGTCTTACTCCGTTGCCTTCCAGCGCGGGAAGTGGGAACCACCACCCTCCACCACGCCCTCCACCCTAGCGACCTCCATCGCCAGGTACCTATGGTCGGAGAGTGACTCCTCCTCTGCGAGGACTTGCCACCCCCCGACCAGCGGAGCCAGGACGGCCGACACCCAGGATAAGTCCACCACGGACGTCCCCTGGGGCCGGACGCACGTGGGAACCTGCCCCACGTTGAGCAGGCTAATGCCACACCTCCGCGCCCACGCCACCACTTGCCGGCCACGGACGCTGGTACGGGACGAGCCCCACCGAACGAACCACGCGTTAAAATCGCCAAGGACGAGGTGGGACTCGCCTCCCGCCCCCTCGATGGCCGCCTCAAGAGCGTCTAAGAACGCCCGGGCCTCCTCCCGGTTTTTACTCGGGGAGAGGTAGCAGCTGAAGACTACTACCTCCCCCTACCGCACTGCCACAAAGCCGTTGCCCCGGACTACCACCTCGGAGACCACGCGGCTGGACTGTGGCGTCCACGCGATGGCTGCGACGCCGTCGAGGTCTGCCGCCCAGCTCGGCGAGTTGGGGATCCAGCAGGGCTCGGAAACCGCCGCCAGGCCAACTCGTCGCTCCGCATAATCTGCCGAAGCAGATCTTGCGCCCCACTGCAGTGGTTTAGATTAATTTGAACCACCCGGTCCATTCTCGGGCACTACCTCCATGGCCTTGGTTGAGGCCTCCCCGGTCCTCCGCTCTGGGGATCGTTTGCCGCCGTTGCGGCCTTTGACGCGCGAGGGGCACGCTAAGCCGCCAGCCCGATGGCCCGTTGCAAGGCCCTGGGCAGAACACAGGACACAGTGGGGACGGTCCGTGCATGTCCTCGCTGTGTGTCCCTCCTTGCCGCAACGGTAGCAGCACCGGCTGCGGTCGACGTCATTGCGGCAGGCCTGACGCACGTGCACGTATTCTAGGCACTTGTAATATTGCAGCTGGCGGGATGGGAGGATGGTGACCCGGGCAGTGGACCACCCAATCCGGACCTTACCCACTTCCGCCAGCCGCTCTGCTACCCCCAAGGGGTAGCGGGCCCAGACAGCCCCCAACCTGTCGCGGCTCTCGGAGACAGGGCCTACATTTACGTCAGCCTCGCGGCAGATGCCGTAGTTGCCCGATGTGATAACGGCCACAACATCGGCCGGCTCCACCGAGGCGTCAAGACCGGTGAAGCAGACCTCACCCCTCCTACACGGGCGGCTGACCGTGGCCTTGCCCTCCAAGACGGGGGTGAGAGCCGCGGCAAGGCTATCCGCCTTGTCCGCCTCACCCGGTCCAGGGATCTCCACCAGGAGTCCCCCCCCTACGTCCTTGCGAATGCAGACGTCTGTAATGCCCAGGGTTTCAAGGGCGACACTGGCCTTGGCCAGCCGAATGACATCCGCATAAGACGCCCGGGGTTCTTGATCAGACGGGCAGCGGATGGCCACAGCTGCCGCCTTCGGGGGTCTTTTCTTCCGGGGCTGTTGCCCGCGCCGCTGCTCGCGGGGCTGTGACCCTCCGCTCGAGGTCCCACTTGCGCGCGCAGAGGAAGCTCCAGACGACACGCTCTGGGACTTCGCCGCCCGAGAGGCGGCAGGGGGCTTCTTGCCCTTGCGCACCACCTCCACCCACACTTAATTGATATTAAGTCAGACTCGCTTACCGTTCAAGATTTAGCCGTCGAATGTCAACGAATGGTTAATCTTAAACAGAATAATTCGATGGTGCAAAATCAAACCACAGACGTTGGGACGGTTGCTCTTGTGCAATCTAAAAATTTCCATAAAAAAGGGAAGTTTAAAAATGGTCAGAAGGAGCAGGGTAAATTTAACAAAACCAAAAAAAATTTATCTGACAAAAAACCTTCGACACCTTGCTGGTTTTGCGGTAACTTACATTTCTCCAAAGACTGTACTTTTAAAACACACAAGTGTCAAAAATGTAAAGTTGTCGGTCATAGAAATGGTTATTGCGCGTCCAGTAAGAAAGTTAACCCCAAGTCTGGTGATGAAAGCTCTGAAACAAGCGTCAAGACAATTCATTCAGTCAATCAGATTTTAACTGGTTCGAGTCGGAAATATATTGATATTTTAATTAATTCAAAGCCTGTAAAGCTTCAATTAGACACGGGTTCTGATCTAACTATTATTTCAAATCAAACATGGATTGATCTCGACAAACCTTCAGGAACAATCACTTCGCATGTTGCTCGAGATGCATCCAGCAATTCAATTCATTTCACTCAAGAGTTTACCTGTATAGTAACTTTTCAGGGAGTCACCAAGGAGCTTCAATGTTTTGTAACTTCAAATCCAGCTTTGAATATAATGGGGTTGGATTGGATCTCTGCATTTAATCTGTGGAATCAATCATTGAACACTTTTTGCCATTTAGTCAATGTCAATAAATCGCAATTCGACATCACCGAATTTCAGAGCAGATTTCAGGATGTTTTTGCAAGTGGTTTGGGGCGTTGCACAAAAGCAAAGGTCGAACTTTTATTTATATTTAAAACCAGATGCTAAGCCGATTTTCAAGCCGAAGCGCCCAGTCGCTTATGCAATTTTGCCGCAAGTCGATGCTGAGCTCGATCGTCTCGAGCAAAATGGAATTATATCACCAATCAAATATTCACAGTGGGCGACACCAATTGTTGTGGTACGCAAAAAGAATGGCTTGATTAAGATTTGTGCAGATTTTTCAACACGACTTAATGCTTCCCTGGAACCTAATCGTCATCCACTTCCTTTGCCAGATGAAATATTTTCACAGCTGTCAAATTGNAAATATTTCAGTCACTTAGATTTGGCAGANGCNTTTTTNCAGATTGAGATTGATGATGAATCAAANAAATNTCTTACAATCAATACTCATCGCGGTTTTTACGTATACAATCGTATGCCTTTTGGGGTCACTGTAGCTCCTGGAGAGTTTCAAGCCATTATGGACTCCATGATTTCTGGCTTACCAAATGTTTTTGCTTACATTGATGACTTAGTTGTTGGTGGAGAAACAATTTTGCAGCATAATCGCAATTTAACACGTCTTTTAGAGCGNATTCAAGATTATGGCTTTCGACTACGACTTGAAAAGTGTACCTTTTTCACAGAAAAGATCAATTATCTTGGTTACGTCATTGATGGGCAAGGATTACATCCAGATCCGAAAAAAGTTTCAGCCATCATAGATATGCCAGCACCAAAGAATTTAAATACTTTACGGTCTTTCTTGGGAGCAATTAATTATTANTCTCGATTNATTNCCAATATGCANATNTTGCGACGACCGTTGGACAATTTGCTTAAGAAGGATGTACCATGGTCATGGTCTTCACGTTGTCAGAAGTCTTTCGAACAATTCAAGAAGATTTTGACATCTAATCTGTTGCTCACTCATTACAATCCAAAGTACGAAATCATTGTGGCAGCAGGTGCTTCTAACGAAGGTCTGGGAGCTTGCATTTTACATCGTTTTCCAGATCAAACAATCAAAGCAGTCAGTCATGCTGCTAGAAGTCTTACTCCTGCGGAAAAAAATTACAGTCAAATTGAAAAAGAAGCTTTAGCAATTATGTTTGCCATTACNAAATTTCATCGAATGATTTTTGGAAGGCATTTTACTTTACAAACGGATCACAAACCGTTATTACAAATTTTTGGAAACAAAAAGGAGATTTCTGTTCATTCAGCGAATCGTTTGCAACGATGGGCTTTGCAGTTACTGTCTTACGATTTTCAGATTGAATATTATAAAACTACAGAATTTGGACATGCTGATGTGTTGTCCAGGTTCATTGATCAGCAGAATCGCCCTGAAGAAGATTTTGTTATTGCTTCTATTCAATTGGAGGAAGATTTATCTTTGACTTTACAAGAGTCATTACAAACGGGGCCAGTTAAGCCGATTACTTTTCAGCAGATTCAAGAGGCAACTAAGAAGAGTGATATTCTTCAGGAAGTAATTAAATATACTCTTACCTCATAGCCTCAAACTGTAGAAGAGTTATCCTTGCAGCCTTATTTTCGTAGGCGTCATTCATTGTCGGTAATCCAAGGCTGTCTTTCTTTCAATAATAGAATCGTAATCTTGTTTCCGTCTTGTTTTCGTACACAGGTTCTTCGACAGATTCACAAGGATCATCCTGGAATAGAACGAATGAAGATTTTGGCACGTTCATATGTATATTGTCCGAAAATAGATGCGGACATTGAACAATTTGTTAAGCGTTGCAGAAATTGTGCACTCACCGCAAAGGCTCCTGTTAAGGTTCCTTTATGTAGTTGGACTCAGCCAGCAGCACCTTGGCAGAGAGTGCATATTGATTATGCCGGTCCATTAAATGGAGAATATTTTTTCGTTCTGGTAGACGCTTACTCTAAATGGCCAGAAATCATACCGACACAGTCAATTTCTGCACAGCGAACAATTAGTTTACTTCAAAGTATTTTTGCTCGCTTCGGCATACCTGAAACAATTGTTTCAGATAATGAAACTCAATTCATATCAGAGAAGTTTCAATCTTATTGTTTATTAAATGGAATACAACACTTGCGCAGCCCACCTTTTCATCCTAGCTCAAATGAGCAGGCTGAGCGTTTCGTGGATACTTTCAAGCGTGGACTTGCTAAGCTACAAGCTAAGGAAAATAGTAGCAACTTTTCGTCAATGGATTTTCTTTCTGTTTTCCTACAGTGTTATAGGTCCATTCCAAATCCAAATGTTCCTAACAAGTTGTCTCCGGCTGAAGCACTGATGGGTAGACGAATACGGACATCATTGGATTTACTGAAACCTTCTTCTTGTCAAGTATCTACAAATGAGAAACAGCTTAAGCAAGAGATGCAATATAATCGAAAACACGAAGCAAGAGATAAAGTTTTCGCTCCGGGTACGCAAGTTTTTGTTCAGGTTCATGCAGCAAATAAATGGTCGTGGATATCTGGGAAAATCATCGAGCGGGTTGGCAAAGTTCTGTATAATGTGCTTGTTCAAACACGAAGTCGACTGGTTCGTGCACACGCCAATCAACTGAAATTTGGGCACGGTGACGAAGACGAAAAAGAACTTTCCGCGGAAATTCTCATCAATGTCTTCGATCTCACAGACACTATACAACAACAAACATCATAAGAAACTGTTACGTCCTGGAGACTCCACGGTCCCCTTTTTTCCTGCGACGCGACGCGCCAGCGCATAGCAACCCTTTTTTTTGGTCAATAATAATAAATAATTCAAACCGGTCTCCTATCGTTTGGAAACTTAAAACTCCAGACGATAGGAGAACAAACGAAAACTATACCGGAAAGATAAACTGCGCCTAGCAATAACACGAAATTTTAGATAACTATTCGAGCAGCTTTGCAAACAAACCCGGGTCATGAAAATGCCGGTCATAAAAATTAGAGCGACCGGCGCAAATAGAAACTCCGGCATTTTTATTACAAACAAACAACAAGGGGTCTATGCGGCGTGATCGCAAAAGACAACACTCTCCCTTTTTCCTTCCCCGGAAAATCGGACGAGGCGACCGAAGCGAGAGATCGTCGCCGATTGGCGATCTCGGAAATCGCCCGACCGACTAATTAACAAATAGGAACCAGCAAAGCTCAACTGAGTTCCCGATTGGAAGAGTCCTCGCTTACTAAAACAGTATATAAGCCAGGGCTCTCGGAATCGAAAACTCAGAAAGAACCGCGTCGCGTATCCAAAAAGACCCGCAGATTTAAGTGAGTGAGTAAGTGAGTGCCAGTGAGTGCAGAGAGCGAGATCCCAGGGCATCGACACTGCCGACCTGCAACGAGCTAATCACAACGCCGCACCGGCCTCAACTGAAATCGCACCACCAGTAGCAGCAAGTAGTAAGTCCACACCATTATATATACGGAGGTTCCACTTCTCGAGAAACCAAAAAACTGACATCGCGATTGATTTTTTTGAGATATCGAGAACGAACAAATTAAACAAATCTATAAAAATTTGGAAGGGCTACTCGCGGTGTGTAACCGTCTTGGGTAGCAGCCAAAATTTTCGGAAGAGCTACTCGCGGTGTGTAATCGTCTTGGGTGGCAGCCGAAATTTTGGAAGGGCTATTCGCGGTGTATAACCGTCTTGGGTGGCAGCCGAAATTTTGGAAGGGCTACTCGCGTTGTATGACCGTCTCGGGTGGCAGCCGAAGTTTTTTTCTTTTCTTTATCTTCTTCCTTAAACCACGCGGTAAACAAAGCTCGATATCTCCGAAAACGCTCGCGAAGCCAATCAATAAAAAAACAATAAAATAAATTGTAATCGCATAAAATCATTTAAGTGGAACCCCGGCAGAGAATTTCGCGAGCGGGTAAAAAGGCCCAGCGCTACCGACGCAACGCAAAATTGCGACGAGCGGCAGCGCTCGCGCAAGACGAAGCGGAGCCGACCAGGCCCATTGACTCCACCTCCCCTCCGACATTAGGAGACAATTCCGGCAGCGACAATAGGATAAAAAACCCCACCAATATACATATAAATCAACAGCACGCGCACTCACACTCACCGACACCTTCGGAACACGCACACACAGATACACATACACACGACGATTCGTGGTATGAAACTCCCTCTTATTCACCTGTAACCCCCGATCCTCCCGCAGAAAATCCCGCGGATCTGCAATCCACCTCGACTCCTCCACCTCCCTCTCGCTCTCCTTACCCCGAACCATCCAGAACCAAACCCGTAGATGATGAATCCTCCGATTCGTCACGATCAACCACCCCTCCCCTCGATCCTAGATTTCAACACTTTCTCCGATTAGCCTTCACTTATAAAAAAGCAAATCCGGAAAGAATCCCCTTTGTCCTTGACCCTCTAACAACAGATCCTTCCGAAATCTTCCGGGTAATAACCACCACTCCAGTTAGAAAACTCCTCCCAGTTAAGTTCCCTTATATAGATGATATCCGCTTAGTTCCCGTTCACCATTTT